CACTGCAGCAAAGACAGCCTTTTTAGTAAATGGCTGGGGGGGGGGGGGCCCACTGGCTGTCCACATGCAGAGGTCTAGACCCATGTCTCTCACCATGTACTAAACCAGAATCGAAACGGATCAATGATGGAAATGGTAAAATAGAAACTTAACCTGCTAGAAGATAAAATGGGCAAAACTCTTGAAGTCATAGGTGGATAAAGGGCTTCCTGAACAAAACCACTGAAGAAATACAAAATCTTTCCAGCACCAACAATCAGAAAGCAGACTGCACCCTCAGGTCATTGTTGACCCACCAGGTCAAGGCAGCCTTGCCCTAGTACCCCTTTCCTTCCATTTCTCTCTTGTTTATGCAAAGTCAATTTTTTAAAATGTGAAAAATATGGTAACCTCTTCACAGAAGGACAAAACACATCTTACAAGCTAATCTCTCCAGAAGGAGTGGTGGAACACACCTGTAATCTCAGCTGCTTGGGAGGCTGAGGCAGGAGGATCACAAGTGAATGACCCAGCCTGGAAAATTTAGGGTCTCAAAAATAAAAAATAAAAGGCTGGGGATGTGGCTCAGTGCAAAAGTCCTAGGTTCAATCCCGAATACCAGGGCGCGCGCATGCGCGCGCGGGGGGTGGGTAGTGGTTCTTTAACATCTGCTCTAAGAATTTCTTGTCTCTTGACACCTTAAGAAAGAAGTACCTGGCCTAACAACAGCGAGTCCTAGCAAGTTACCGGCTTCCATCTGCAGTTACAGTATTTTTTCAACCGCGCGAGCCTAGCTTGCCTCTCTGCGTCGCAACTGGAGGTTGCTAGGACGCCCTCCAGGACCCACGTAGACTGAGCGCTGGGCCGCAGATCCCCAGGCCTGGCGCCCCCGAAATTTGGTAACGGCCACTGCCTGCATCCGAGCCCACCTGCGGCAGCGAGCATACAGACCCCGCCGGCGTTGCCAGGCACCCGTGCCAGGCTGCTGGTACCTTAGTCATCTGCCCTGAGTACGCTTCCCACAGCCGCCAGACTGCAGGGCCCGGAGACCCGGAGAGACAAAGGAAGACTCGAACCAGGATGCTGCTGAGCCCGGTTCTGCAGACCGGACCGAGACAGGGCAGGGCGCACCTCAGCACCGCCTACGGAGAGTCCTGTGCCCCGTCGAACAACTCAAATCACAGCGGACTCTGCTTCAGTTTTCAAACCGTTTGAAATATTAAGCAGGGCGTGAAGCGGAAGGAGGACACGGCAGGCGGAGGAAGCCGCGGCCCGCTCCCGCCCCGGTCCCGGCCGGCCCCGCGGAGGCCGGGCCTCAGGAGCCGGACAGCGTCGCCTCTGCCAGCGGATGCCCATGGCCACGCCGCCCGGCCCGAGACCCCAGCGTCCGCACCCCGCACCCGGCGCCCCCCACGCCCCGGCCCGTTGCCCGGCCCACCTGGAGCCGCCGCCCGGAGCGCGCGGTCTGGGCGATTCCGCGCTGCAGCCCGCCGCCCGGATGGAGACAGCGCCTCCTCTGGCGAGCGCGGGGCGCGCAGGTGCCAGGACGCGAGGCCGCCCCGCCTCACCCCGCCCAGGAGGTCACAGAGGCGGTGACCCGAGTGACCCAGGGACATCCGAGCCCAGCTGCCCGCCGCAGCCCGCTGGCTGGGCCTTAGTGATCTGGGGAGGCATCCTTACAGCATTCGGGCCAGGGCTCTGGGCTGAGCCCTTGTACTTCCTGTTTGTGTTAAAGCTTCGCAGTTTTAATGTATGGCCAGGATTACGAACAGTTCTCTTAGAATGATCGCTTTTCAAGTTGTCCTAGCTCCTGTGCCTGGGAAAAGCACCCCCATCCTCCATCCCTCCCAGATAAAAAAGCAAATACACGAAACTCTTCTCTAAAGGGAACCGGAATCTGGAATTTTAAACTGGGCCGGGGCGGCTGGCGTAAGTTTCCCTAACTGCAGGAAACATTCCTCACGTGCCAAAATGTCTTAGCTGAGTTAGAAGCTAGGGAAGAAAGAAAAAGGAGCAAAAAGAGCTTGCTATGCCTGATCTCTTGATCCTACTGTGCTCTGAATGATACTTTTTTTTTTAATTTTATTTTTATGGAACATTTTAGGTATGGAATATAATGACATTCATCATTGGAAATTTGCACATTTACGTAATCTAATCTCTCTTGGTTCTTATTTTCCCCTTCCCCCTGCCCTCCCTTCAACCCCTCCATTCCTCCCTATTTCCAAACAATTTGCTTCCATTTTTCCATTTTTTCATATTAATTCCATTCCCTTCTTTCTTTCCCCTACCCCTCCCACTTCCTTCCCCTTTGCCCCTTTTCTTCCTATTTCACATTACCTATTATACATTTTAGTCCTTATTTACACTTTCATTTTTGCACACTAGAGAACCTATTCGGTATTTACATGTGTGTCCTATTTGTTTCACTTAAGAGTATTGCCTCAATGTCCATCCATTTAGCTATAAATGTCTCTAATGTTTCATTCTTTATGGCTGAATAGTATTCCATTTTATTTTTTAAAAACCCACATTTTCATTATCGAGTCTCCAATTGATGGGCATTTGGGCTGTTTCCAAGTTTTAGCTATTACAAACTGTGCTGCTGTGAACATGGGCGCACATATATCACTGTAGTATGATTCTTTTAATTCTTTGGGGAAGATCCCCAGCAGTGGGATAGCTGGGTCAAATGGGACTTCCAGTCCTAGTTCTTTGAGGTATCTCCATACTGATTTCCACAGTG